ATCTTCGGGCTTCTGTCGCGCGGTAGCTATTGAGTGTTCTTCTTAGACTGTTTCCCTTACTTATTTAACATGTATAAATAAATAAATAATATACATATAAATGATGTATAAATTATATCTTGAAAATTATAATTATATGTAATAAATACATTTACCTTTTTATTTTATTTTCAATATTTAAGATTTGAGATGAATATTATCCCTAAAAATAACACGTGTCTACTAAAATAAATAGAGATAAAGTCGGAGTCCACTCCTACGATTGCTGGTCATTAATGATGACACAATCAACAGATAGAGACTCTAAATATGGAATTTAGTTTACTTTTGTTATAAAAAATTAGCGGTATAGCTCAAAACTGATGCATGTCTCTGACGTCCAATGCCGATAGGAACTTCATAACTAGTATCGGTCTGGGAGCGATATTGTCGTGAAAGGCAACAAATATATTTAACAAAGCCATTGAATATATTTTTATTGCATATTTTGATCGTTATGTAAAGGTTTGAGGCAGTGAGATGAACTTCCTATTCTCAAATTTGCCGCGAGAAATGTGATCAAATCGTCGATACAAATGCTAAATATCGAATCTGAAAATCATGATTCTAATGTCATTATCAATTCAGCCCAAACAGCGAGCATGTTTTAATTTCAACACTAATATGTGCATTTATAAATGTCTTAAGATATTGTATTCTCTCTTTAAAAAAATTTAATTACAATTACAATCGAAAAATAATATTTTTCATATTAGATATTTAGCATTTGTATCTGACGTAATGACGTAAAAATGGAAGGATGCCCATTAATGAATCATAAAATTCTAGGATATATTTATACATATAATTATCTTTGAATATAGACTTAAATTGCTAAAATTAAATTAAAATATAAAAAAGGGGGGAGGAGGGTTGATATTCTTGCCCATCTGTAATTTTATTGGGAGGGGGCCAATTGCCCCCTTCGACCTTCCCCAGAAGTCTGCGCCTATACTGATAACTCTCATTTTTATGCTAATTATTTGGGGAATGATTGAAAGAGTCAGGTTTACAGCTGATCACCAAATATTGCACATTTTAGTAGAAAGACTAAGAGATTACATAATTAATCTAACGTCTATATTTAAATAATTGAAAATTTACAGTAAGACCAGAATAATCTCTAGTAGATATTCAATAATTAATAAAATAAGATGTGTACTCTGGCTTTATTTTTGCCATGTTTGTTCAATCACTATTATATGCTAACGCACTAAAAAAACTCAAACTTCAATATAATAATGCACTTAAAAACTCTGTTTTAACGCAGACTAATTATGACTGATAAAGAAAAGAAAAAAAAAGAAGCGAAAAATGAGAAATTTCATATTATACTGGAAGTCAAAGATATTTACGATAGTCAAAGATAACTACATTTGTGAAAGAAATGTAGATTCTCCCAAGAATTGAATTCCCATAAAATTATGGTTTCCTCCGATTCAAACCATTTAAAAGTTTGTTCCCCTCAAAAATTCAAAACTACGTAAACATCCGTCTCCCAAATATTCAAAACCCAGTAAAAATTTGCTCCCCTCAAGAAAAAGTAAAATAAGAAAAGAGAAAAAATGTAGATCTTACACTTATTAATTTCCTCCTAGTTTCCTCATAACTATAACCCAATAAAAATATTTTTTCCTCTAATTAACAACCCTGTAAAAATATTTCCTCCTGAAAAATTCAAAACCTCGTGAAAATTTGTCCCACTGAAAAATTTTGATGGTGCAACTTGGGCCAATAAACGACTTCAGGGTATTCCTGTGTTTTATCATGTCTTAGACATCAAGAAATAAATTTATTTCAATGTACTAAAGTAGTCAGATATGGAATTGGCTAATCACATATTATCATTAATCCAATTTTAATGAATTTTTTATTGATTCCGTGCTTTGGTAACTTAGATAAATGACAGTAGATTGTCGATAATTCGCGTTTATCTCTAATTCGAACTCTTCAGGTGTCAACTTTGGTAAATCGAATAATGCTTCATTTGAATACACTTGATAATATAAAATTATTTTCTTAACACGAGGGGAAGAGAATTTATCTATAACATAGATTCTATATACGAACTAGGCTACTCCCCTTTTTAATAATTCGAATTTTTCTAGCAATATTGACTCCTCATTTTCCGCTTAATGTCCACTTCCTTTCATTCCAGCCTAGTAGTGTTGCCCAAATGCGAACGAGACGAGTCTTGGTCATGCAAACTCATTCTTGGTCTAGGTCTTGGTCTTGCACAACAGTCTTGCAGTTATCTATTAGTTTAGTACTATAGATATATTACTGTATTTTTTTTGATAGGGGAAACCTAACTAAGCCCGAATGAAAAATTAGGAGAGTTAAATGCAAAAGTATATGTTATACCAATTCTTTACACATAGAATCTAAAATTGTCAAGCATTAGTAACTATTTTGTCTTAATTTGTATCCAAAAAGATGCAAAGTGCAAGACCAAGACCGCCAAAACTTTCAATATTCCAACATTATGGCTGTCAACAAAACTATCAATATTCCAACATTATGGCTGTCAACAATTCTGAAGAATAAAGAGAAAATTATAAAGTCATTTGTCATTTTTTTTTTTTTAATTGATACTTTGTATACATAAAATGTATGTGAGCTCATACATATTTACAAAAATATAATAATAATAATAAAAAGCTTAGCAAACCCGAAGGCTCGACGCCGACACGAGCAATCGGTTTTTACACACTTTCCTCCATCGTTCGCCATCCAAACCCAGTTCCGTCCGATCAGCGTTAACGCAATCCTCCCACCTTCTCTTCGGTCTACCCCTCGGACGTTTACCAATAGCCACAGCGCATAATAACCTTTTAGGAATTCTTTCGTTACTAAGCCCAACCAGTTTACAGGCGCAATGTAGTTACTTCATTAATAAACTTAATTTTAATTTAAAATACCTAATTTAAATTTAAATTTAATTATATAAACGGATACAGTTCACGCAATTCAGCATTGTGAAACCGCCTGAATTCTCCTGTTGACTCATGCTTTTTTAGTCAAAATATTGTTAGCAATACTTTATTTTTAAAAACCTTAAGGAGTTGCTCATCCCTTGAAGTATGCGCCTACGTTACGTATTCATAAAGATCCGTTGGTGGATGGTGGTTTTGTTCAAAAATATAATAAATCTTATTAATTCGAATTGTTTTCTTTCCTCTTGATAATTCAATCTTCTTGATAGTTCGAAGTCTCAATAATTCGATTTTTCTTGTAGTGTCTTGTATTTCGAATTATTGAGAGTCGACTGTAGATTATTTTGGTCCAATATAAGTTTCATCAAATTCTATCATTACATTTACTTACGCTTGTGGAAAAATTTGGGAGGAAAGCAAAGTGTTTGGCAAGAATATGTTGCTGTATCAATTGAATCGAACTCCATTCCCTGCTTTCGCTTACGCATGCACAAATCCTTGCTATTTCTATCTCCTTCTATATCCTTGCTGCACAACGGTTTGTTCAATTTGGCCAAAAGTTTGAGGAAAGTTAGGGTTTAGTGTAAAATATTCAATATAAATTTTATGAAATTTCTTGCTTACTTTCGTTTACAGATATGCAAAGGTACTTTTCTTGATACGATTATATTTCAATCACGTCTCGCTTGATTTGGTCCAAAGCTGGATGAGTTTCAGCAAGTAGTGTTCAAATAGTTCAGTAACATTTAATCAAATTCCTTTTAACACTTTAAATTAATGTAATTGTTAAGAACATTATGGATGTGCAAAATGATCTTTTAAGTATGTGAACATAATATGTTGACTGCCTATCACAATTAACTTTTATGTTTAATATAATGCGAGCTTATATACAACTTTAAATTTGATGGGATTTAGAAGAATTTTAATTTTGGAATATTCTTTTCAGTCTTCAAATAAAATTACTATCTTAGTGAAGCGTACTCAAATAATGCATTTATGCGTATGCTTATTTTTTATTTAAAGAGTTTCCATAACATGCAGACAAATAAAAATGCATAGATAAAATTGGATCAGAGAGACTTTATGACAGTTTCTAACCTAGCACTTCTCTTAAGTAGGGGGATAGTTTTGTAATACCTTCTTGCATTATATCTTGCTCAAATTACTAATGTTTTTGAGGTATGTCAAATCAAATTTGTTTTGACGATATGAAGTCATTACCCAGCACTGGGACCAGGAAACTTTAGTTGCCTTTCCAAATTTACGACTTTAGGGGCAGTAGATTTTTCAACCGGAGTCGCCCCTTCATCTGGAGCAACGACGAGGAACGAGTTATTACTGTCATTAGTCGGGGACTTGAAGAGCGAAACAGTTCAAAGAGAGTCAGGAATACAAAATTTTGCAAGATCTCGATTCATTATGTAATATATAAATTTCTGCAAGTCATGACTATAATTTCTTCATACAGTAGTGATATGATTATAACAAACTTTCTCCTAATTAAACAGTGATATTACTGGGTACGCTACTATTTGTACTGTGCTGTAATAAAGTGCAATAAAATATAAATATGGGAAAAATTGTAGATCTCGTACATTTAACAAAAAAGGCATTTTTAAACTTGAATTGGGTACTAGAAATTTATTTTTGCTAATGGGATTTAATATTGATTCGCATAGCTTGGCTATTTAAAACCTTTTGTATTGAATTTTAGCGTTATTTAAAACCTGTTCTTTCAGGTTTAGGGACTCTAACTCCTCCCTGTTTTGGAAAAAAAAATAATCCTGAAACAAACGACTTCTTTAGCCCATGTTTTTGTAAATAAGTAAGAAAACAAACAGTTAAACTTGTCAAAACTTATTCCTTGAAACAAACAAACACGGTGTTTATTTTCGAAGGAAGTCGGTACAGGATGAGGCCGGCGAGTAAATTTAGATAGATGCGGAAGGGGAGGGGTGGGAGTGGGCGGGGAGGGGGCGTGGCAGTGGGCGTGGCCAGCGCTGGCTCAGTCCCCGCCCGGCGGCCAGTCGTGATGCGCTAGTTGCCTCCAAGCAGTGCTTGCTTGTATGTTCATTACCGCCGCTCACATGTCCCGCATCGGAGACCACAACATTGGATCCATGTCCCACATCATCGAGGAGTCGGTCAGTCGTCTTTATTAATAATTTTAATTAATAACTGAGCGGAACTTACAAATCATTATATTACATCAATTTTAAAATATATTTACTATTTATTTTAAATTATCATCTTGCGAATCAAAGAAGCCAAGAGGAAAACTTTTTGAGTAGTTGTTCAAAAACTTGAAGGAATAGACTATTAGGAGATAAGAATACAGAAATTAGTTTTATTAAATTAAAATATAGAATTGAATATCATATTAAAGTGTTCAGTAGAAGTTCATATTAGAATATTTTATTAAATTAAAATATATTTAATGTCATTAAATTAAAATATTATTCTCTTATTTAATTTTAAGAATTAGAATTTTCAAAATCGTTAGTAGCAGAACCTAATTAATAAGCATTTAAATAAAATAAATAAATAAAATTAATCTTCGGAAAATCGGCAAAATATTTTGAGTTTAGTTTGAGTTATCAAATCTCTTTTCAGAATATAATTACTTAAAATTTTCGTATACCGAATAAATTTATAAAGTTTAAAAAGTGATTATAGGATTTATTTTTAAAAAATGAATTTTTATATCAAGAATGATTAAGAGAAAATTATTTATTTTCTAAAATTTATTAATTTAAATTAATGACATTTATTTCTTCAATAATAACTCCAAATGTAATTACTTACAAATTGTTCTGAAGTATTTAAAAAATAAATAATTAAAAATTATTCTCAGGTGTTTCTTGAATTAACTTTGTACTTAACATTAATGAGGTACACTTTTTTTATTTATATGTTCTTAAGTATGTATAATTTATTTGAACACAAATGACACAAAAATATTGTATTATAAATTATAACTATAAATGGATATTTATTTAAGATTTAGTATAATACTATTTAGAGAGAAGGCAAAGTCTTATCACAGAACCAAATCTCTAATACATTGTCAACTTATCTACAAATATTTACTTCTACGGTGTAAACAAATAGTTTATGTTTGGATGCGTGCATGTGTGTGTATGTATATATATATATATATATATATATATATATATACATACACACACATATATGTGTATGTATATATGTATATATATATATATATATATATATATATATATATATATATATATATATATATATATTTATATTTATATTTATATATAAATACACAATTATAATTATTTAAATTGATAAATAATTATTTTCATTTCATCTTTTATTACAAATTATTATTATTATTCTGTTTCGTAGCTTGGCATACAGCATTAATTATATTTAATCATTATTACTGCTTACAATTAATTAAAACTGTAGACATTATATCATTCATATTAAGGAATATATTTTAATTAATTACATGTAATCAAATTTAATTTAATTCATATTCACATAATTAAATTTATATTAAAACATAATCACTATCAGAAATAACGATAATTACCACATTGGATTACTTCAGTTTAAAATGAACTATGATTTTGTACAGTATATTTTTTTTTAGTATCTTTTGATTTTAAATTTATAAATTTTCTTTTGAAATTAAAAGTTAAAAGTTTAGTCAGTGGTAAAAGGAAACTGTTGTAATAGCTTTTTGAACATGTACTCAATTTAAAGCGTAGAAATGTAAACAAAATTCTAATAAATGCTAATTCTAATAAGTTTGGGATTGAATATGACCTGTTTAGATGACCTATCTATGTAGTCTAGTTTGGGTAGTTTTTGAACTAATACTTTTCCAGTTACTCGAATTTAAACGCAAATATACTCTTCGACGCAGATTTTCGATTATGATTTGGAAGGATAGATCAAAAAAATGATTGTGAAACTAACAAACATAATACTGAAACTTTAAAAATTTACACACACACAAATATATATATATATATATATATATATATATATATATATATATATATATATATATATATATATAGAGAGAGAGAGAGAGAGAGAGAGAGAGAGATTTTTTTTATATGCGTATGGATATACTTGAAAATATTTGATTTTTTAATCATAATTATAGGAAAAAAATCTAAAAAAACAATAGTATATATTATGTATTCGTATACATTAAACACCTGGAAAGGAGTACTGCCTCTCCATTACATATAACATTATTAAGTATATTTTTTCAACTTTGCCACGGATATGATAAAAATAGAGGGGGTACATTAGTGGTAAATAAATAAAAAAATCCTAGGATATGTTACTATACATTATTAGAAAAACTTAAATAATAAGAACATTTAGGTCATAATAAAATAATTATAATGAAATACTTACTGACCTTAGCCAAGCTTGCTAGTCGAATTTTCTTATTTAGTTTATTTATTTTATTCATTCATGTAAATTATTTATTATTAATTTTATTTTTTTAATTATTCAAATTATTATTATTTTTATTGAGCGATCGCTCGCCTCCTCTCCCCCCAAAAGTGTGTACCTATGCATACTACTTTATTATCAAAGTTAAATAATTATAATAAGTCTTGAAATGTCACCAATTCTGTTTTACTTCCCTGTGATTCACTAACTATTTTCAACGGTTAGTGACAAAGATAATGCAAGGAAATGATATAATGTAGAGATTCAATCATATCCGTAATGTTTATAGTAATCTAGTAGAGGAAAATTAATACCTAAAAGTTGAATTTTTCAGGCGAAACTCCAAGAGCTGAAATTAAAAGCTTTATTATAAATTTTATGGATCCTGATTTATTTTAATGTCTCGATATAAATTTTTAAAAAATGGGTATCTCGTCCATCAGAAGACACTCCTAAATCAGCGAAGCCATTTCCGTTATAACCATCATCTTCACAGCATTTATGGGGGGGGGGGGAGGAGGGGCGGAGGTGAGAGAGAAGAGAAGGAGAGGTAGGCGTTCACTCCGGACCCCACAGTTGTGGATTTAAATTTTAAAAAATGAATGATAATTAACTTAATTGAAAATAAAATTAGAAACATTTGACTTTAAACAGACGGAATCTTTATTTTTTGTGTATTTTTTTTTGTGACTTTATTACATTAATTGTTATTAATCCAGTTTGAGTAATTAATAACAATTTATTAACGAACCTAAACATTGAATACGGAACGATATAGTTATATTTTTTTCATTTGCTTGATTTGTTTTGTGAGGTGTCTGATATTAAGTTTATATTAACTCAACTAATTAGTCATATGATTATTGGAGACAATAAACACATAAACAAAATGACGAAACAATGCTTTTTGATTTATAATAATCTATTATAATAAAAGAGTATAAATGTTCATAATAAAAGTTTTTTCGTTAGGAGGCCTCAAACATATACCTTCCCAGGCCCCATTAAATTAGGGGACACTCCAAAATGCCAATAGAATTTTTTTGGGAGGTCAAAAATAAATTTTATTTGTTATAAATACGCCTCTGCATCTCCATAGAAAATATAATTATAAAAGATAATCTGTTAATATATAATAAATGCATGGTTTCTCATTTCAATTATTCAATTATTAAAATATTTGGTAATATTTTAAATTATCAAAATATATCGCCGGTTTATTGCAAATCGTCACGAAGCCCATTTTTGATGGAGTTGAATTTTAAGAACGTTTTTTAATATTCGGTCTAAAAGTTAGCGCTTCTAAATGACACGAACCCTTATATACAGGCTGTGTCAGATCTTAATGACCAAACTGTGGATGATGTTTCTAGAAAAAAATGTCCAACAAAAGTTCTAAGGTCATTTGGTGGAACAGAAAAGGAGTTAAGACCAATTTTGTGTTTTTCCTAAGAAAATCCCGTGTTTTATTGAATAAGAAGGTTATCCAAGATTATCTCTTGATTATCTAAGGTTATCTCAACAAATATCTAAGATAATTAAATAATAAGTACACAATCATAAAGTAGAATATTTTTTTTTAGAAAGCTGATTAAATTTACTAATAGCCCTAGGACGCAAAATTTGGTGCTCTTCACCTACAAGTTTCAGGGCCATTTATAGTAATTTGTCTCAATTTTGAGACAAATTTGTTAAAAATCAGCGTTCGTTGACCATGATTTGATACCTTACCACGTAAAAAAATTATAAAGTTTATGTACTCGTTCGACGTACGATTTAACGTTCTTTAATTTATTATAGAATACATTTTTCGCTTTGATGTATCTTTTAGGAGTTATAGCTGAAAAAACTGACCTTTCGGCTATAAAAAGTTCTCCCTTGGTGGCACGCCTTAGTGATTTTGTTTTTATATGTCTAAACCGATATATACAAGTTAAAAGAATAAAAACTTTTGTTTTCGCAATGGATTTCCCGTTTCCAACCTCAAATTACTGGTCTAATGTTCTTTAAATCAGCAGCCATTTTTGAAAGTAGCGGCTCTGAAACGACAGAAAAGGTTCTTTTTACTCAGAATAACACACACTTACGTAATTTATAATCAAAACTTCACCTGCGATGAGGTTGATTTTTGGGCCGTGGATCCAGGGCTATAAGGTCAACGATAAATGGAACTTTCAGAAGGTCTGATACTGTATAGAGATATGCTGTTCGTGTATGGGTACTGTCTGCTTTACGATGGTGTACTAAGATTTTAATTATCTTGGACAGTTTTTGAGCAATTCCTTCTTATTCAATAAAAACCGTGACTAACAAAATTTTTCTTTGTGTTAGTGACCAAATAGTAATATAATGTGGAAATAACCAAATAAATAAAATATAATTACTTAAGATGTTTCATTATTGAAAACGATAAACGAAAACATGTTTACTAACTCCAATAGGATGTGTCATTTCTAATCATCCTCAGATTTCTCTCAGATGGGAATATTTCTAACTTCCGCGCCTATAACCGTAAACAAATTGCACAAATTTTGAGTTAGACGCTTTTTATAGGACTTTTTATTTTTTGATAACTTATTTCTTTATTTTTCTGGGAGTGGGGGTCCACTCCTACTGATTTTAAACAATTATTTTAAATTTTAAATATGTTCATTAAAAATAATTCAATTGAATTAAACTAATTTTCCTGATGACC